GAGGCGCGCCGCGGGATATGCCGAAGGAGACTTGGGGGCGGGACTCGCGAGAGGCGCAGCGCGTGATAGGGCAGAGGCGACCTCAGGGGCAGGATGTCAGCTCTCATTTTGTTGGTAAACATTTCCTTGTTTACGTCACCAGAGTTAGAGGGTGACTCCCTTTCTCCTAATTTTCACTTCGTCGAAATCACGGAAGTGGAGAGTGACGTGTGCACGCCCGGGACGTCCGGCCCTGCAACGCCGGCGCGGCTGTCCCGACGGAGCCACGAGGCGCGCGCGGCCTCACAGGGCTCTGATCCGGAAGTGCCTCCCCACAGCTGCTCCGTCGGGCTCCTCCGTCATGCACTTCCGGTGACGAGGCTGCCGCTTTGGTTTGAGTGCACGTCACGCGTGACGTCACGTCCGCCGGGTCTCCACCGGGGAGCGAAGTGTGTCGCATGGGTGATGTGTTGTAATAAGTGATACCGCAGTAGACTCGGAACTCATGTGACCCCATTGGCCAATGTCACCCCAATACACTTGATTAAAGAGGGAGTTCCGCTCCTACATGTCAGTCTAACTTTAAGACGTATTTGTCCACTGGGTGCGTTGCCAGCTCTCGCCTGGCCTGCAGGGAGGGCTCACAGGGCCCTGTCCCCGCTGCTGGGGCCGGAGTCCCGAGCAGGTGTGCGCCCCAGAGCAGGTCTCGCAGGCGGGCTCCCCGAGGCCTCTCTCCTGGGCGTGTGGACGGCCACCTTCTCCTGGGTCCTCACAAGACCGCCCTTCTGCCTGTCTGTGTCCCATCTCCTCGTCTTAAACGGTCCCCCATCAGCCTGCTTAGGACCCACCCGTATGGCCTTTCTAAAACTTAACCACAAGTGGCGTCTGAAGTCATGGAACCCAGAAGCAGAGTAGAAGGTGGGACCCAGGGCTTAGGGGCGGGGCCAGTAGGGGAGCTGGCCGGCGGCTCGGACCCGCCCAGAGGACCCAGCTCACCCTGGCTGACTCCGGCTGCTCCACGGAACCCCTTTCCTCTCTGCCTGACGCGAGAGGGCAGGTGTGGCTCTCAATGTCCCCCAAACCCTGCAGAGCTGTGACCGAGGCTGCGCAACCAGGCGAGGGGGGCACAGCGGGGACAGGCCCATGACCAGCTCGGGCCATCTGCCCAGACCCAGGGGCCAGGCAGGACCCGCTGACACCGACGGGCCCGGGCGGGCTCATCACCCAGCGGAGGGGGACGGGGGGGTGGGGGCTCTAGAGCGAAGCCCTTTAAATGTTTGGGAAACACATTCACTGCCGTGGCCTCTCTTACACGGGCTGGTTCTGAGCACATAAACCGCCTGGCTTGGTGTCACCCAGACCACTGTCACGGCAAAGCATGGCTGGTGACTTCGAGTGTTTAAAAGTCAAAACAAAACGACTAAGTCAGCCCGGCGGGTGTGGCTCAGGGGTTGAGCGTCGACCTATGACCCAGGAGGTCAGGGTTCAATTCCCCACCAGGGCACATGGCCGCTTGCAGGCTCCATCCCCAGTGTGGGCCATGCAGGGGCAGCCGATCCATGATTCTCTCCCATCACTGATGTTTCTATCTCTCCCTCCCTCTCTTTTCCTCTCTGAAATCAATAAAAATGTATTTTTATAAAAACAAAAGACACAGTGAGGCCCTAGCTGGTTTGGCTCAGTGGAATTGATAGAGCCGGCCTGCTGACTCAAGGGTCCCAGGTTCGATTCCGGTCAGGGGCATGTGCCTGGGTTGCGGCACATCCCCAGTAGGGAGTGTGCAGGAGGCAGCTGATCGATGTTTCTCTCTCATCGATATTTCTGACTATCCCTCTCCCTTCCTCTCTGTGAAAATCAATAAAATATATTTTTTAAAAGACACAGTGAGAGCAGAGCTCGCGTGACCACTCCCGCTCCGCGGCTCCAGATGTTTATTGCTGACCTGCTCCCACCGGACACAGCGTGGGACAGAAAGGAGCCACCACGGTCCGTCCGCCCGTCCCGGGATCATTCCAAACAGGAGCGAGCGACAGTGGTCGCGCCCACAGCCTCCGGAGGAACAGGGAAGTCCACCAAACCGCCTCGCCTCGCGTCTCTTCTTCTACGGCATCGGCATTGCCTCCGAGGCCCAGGACACGCTGCCTGCGCCGCCGCCGCCTAAAACAGCTGGATGATCGAGTCCCGGGACTTGCCGACACCAACCCATTTCACTGAAAGGGAAAGGCCGTTCAGGCTGAGCGCAGGGAGGGGAGGGGGCGCACTGGGAGGGCGCGGGGTGCGGGGCGCCGGGCACCCACCTGCCACGCCCACGTGATTCTCCACAAACCGCACGTAGCTCTGGGCCTGTGGGGGCAGGTCCTCCCACTTCCTGGCGCCCGTGGTGTCCGCCTTCCAGCCAGGCAGCGTCTCATACTCCACCTCCACCTTCTGCAGGATCTCCTGGTTCGCTGGGGACACGGGTGGTCGTGCCCTCAGGCGTCGCTCCAGCGTGGGCAGAGGCCGGGGAGCCGGGACCCCCGCCCGGGGCCTGCCTCCCTGGGGGATCAGGGGCCCCTGGCTC